TGAAGTTCGCTGACTGGGGGACAGAGAGCTCTTGGCAAAATTGATCCTGAGTCCCAGTTGCTCTAAGTGGCTGAGGAGGAGGGACCTGTGGGCAATAGGCTCTGCATCCGACTGTGCTAAAACGAGCCAGTCGTCGAGGTAATTCAGGATATGGATTCCCATCTGTCTCAGAGGGGAAAGGGCCGCGTCCATGCACTTCGCAAAAGTGCGGGGAGCCAGAGACAGCCCGAAGGGCAGGACCGTGTATTGATAAGCCACTCCCTCGAAGGCGAATCTCACGAATTGTCTGTGACGGAGGGCTATCTGGATGTGCAGAGACAGCCCGAAGGGCAGGACCGTGTATTGATAAGCCACTCCCTCGAAGGCGAATCTCAAGAATTGTCTGTGATGGAGGGCTATCTGGATGTGAAAGTAAGTATCTTTCAGATCCAGTGAAAATAACCAGTCCCCTGGGCGGATTTGCGAGAGGATCTGCTTCAGTGTAGTCATTCTGAACGTCCGTTTCATGAGGGCACGGTTCAGGCGTCTGAGATCGAGGATTGGCCGCAGGCCACCATCCTTTTTGGGGATGAGGAAGTAACGACTGTAGAAGCCTGACTCGCTCTGAGCTGGTGGAACTGTTTCTATGGCTCCTTTTGCCAGCAAATTCTTTTTTCGAGGGTGGTTCGGTGCTTGTGAGACTTTGCCCCTTCCTTTTCCTTTCCAGCGGATCAGGACGATGCCGGGGGCGCAGGGTCCAAGTTCAGCTTGGGCCGGGGTCCTTGGCGCTTTGGAAAGGGATAGCGTCTGGCCAAGCGGGAGCGCTGTCAGGGATCAGGCTTTTGAGCAGGCTGAGCGCATTGCAGAGCTGGAGCGTTTCAGCAAGAAGTGGCCTGGGACGACTTCTGAGCCGCGGTGAATCACTCTGCAAATCCCTCGACAGCAGGTCCAAACAGCCCTGTGGGGGAGACCAGGGAGTCGAGGAAGGGAACCTTGTAAGCCTCCTTAATCTCGGTGAGGTTTAGCCATAATTGGTGCTCCAGCACCACTAGATTGGCCATTGACATCCCTATGGCCTGCGCTGTGGCCTTGGTAGCCCTTAGAGCCAGGTCTGTAGCGCTGCGCAGCTCCCTGAAAGCTGCGGCATCAGGTCCTGACTCATCCAGCGTGCATATGAGACAGAGCGATTGCGGGTTTATGTAGATGTATTTGGAGCATGATTTGTTGATTATGTTTTGGTCCTCAACATATTATTGACCAATCAGCTTTCTTACGTTCAAAATCGCTCTCGTAGATTGGTGCTACTGCTTAACCCACTCTCTCCACTATTTTGTGAGCAGCGGAACGTTTGGAGAGAGTGTAATAATACCAGAAAGCGACCTTCGCTTTCCATCCAATGGCAGTGGACGGGCAAAGGTGCGCAGCCACTGCCTCGTCGAGATGAGGCATCCTCTCGTAACCCTTTTCTTCAGCACCGTCCACTGAGGAGAGAGCAGAAGAAGAGTTAGAGCGAAGGCGGGCCGAGTAAGGAGCACGCCACGACTTCGTAAGCTCATCATGGACCTCCGGGAAAAACGGAGAGTCTCGCTGACGAGGGGCCTGGCAGCGCCCCGGCAGGAACCATTCGTCCAGACGGCTACGAGTGGGCCTGGGCTCGGCAGACGATGAAGGGGCGGGGTCAGCAATAGAGCCCGACATCTCCTCCGCATCTGATGCTATTAGAGACATGCTGTCATCTAATAGCTCGTTCTCTACGGGACCGAACGAGACCATGTCGCTCGCATCAGCCAAGGGACGCTGGTCTGCATGCTGGAAGAGAACGGGAGAATCCTCTCTGCTTGGCGGGGGCGAGGCGCGGGATCTGGGCCGGCGCAAGCTCGGTCGTGGCCGAGCGCTTAGTCCCTTTGCCCTGCTGTTTTTTCCTCACAGATGCCTGGGAGAAAGAAAATGGGAGGGCGCGAAGGGAGGATTCGCACTCTAAAAAGAAAGCGATCCGAGTGCGCAGAGTGGCGAGACTCATGTTCACACAGTGTGAACAATCCATCTCGGTCAGAGCGGCTTCCGCGTGGGGCTTGCCCAAGCAGGAAACGCACTCTGGGTGGCTGTCACCATCGTACAATACTGCACGACGTGCAATAACGGCGCGGCATTTGAAACAACGCCGGTGTTCTTTTAGTGAGAAATTTGCTTTTTTTAGGCTCGCCGGATGGCAGCAGGGGACGAGCTGGCGTCTGCGCTGGTCGCTGAGCAGTTCGAAGAGCAGGCGGAGCGATGAGAGGGCGCAGAAGAGATGGCAGCTTCTATCCGCAGCGAGGCGTTTCTACGGCGAGTGTCTTCAAGTCCTGAAGGTCAGCGAAGGAAGATCGTCGTCGCTGAAGGAGAATTGATCTGAGATCCTATGGCGAAATGCCCGCTTATATAGCCAGATGGCCCCGCCCATTCTGGCAGGGTCTGGCGGACTTCACCGCCATAGGCTCGCGCGCCATTTGAAACAACGCCGGTGCT